TATTTCATTCTTCTTTGTACTTGGATTGGATGTACTTGAGTTGAGGGTATGCCAGAACAATCTCTCTATCTCCATAAGATAATGGTAAGGTCTGCATACACTATGTCCTTTCTAGACCACACTTTTAGGATTATACTGGGTATATTGTTGTTGTTGTTTGTATGTAATATGTCACAAATTGTTTTAAAAATTTCAAATCGTAGTCTGAATTATACTTAAGTATTGGCTTTTCAGGCACAAGTTTGTGCTTTATTTTTATACAAGTCTAGATCGTTGAGTTGCTAAGACATAAAGTTAGAACATCATGCTGATAATATATTATAAAATTAAGTTTAAAGTAAAATAAAACTGAAGATAAGAAACTAAATTATAAGACCAGAGGAATAATATAAGATAATTTTTTTTCTTTTAAGTGTGTCAATAATGACTTTTCATCCTCTATCTATAGAATTACATAGAGATAATCAAAGAGAATGTCATAAACATAACATTAAGGGGGAACATCACGGAGAAGGTGAAAGATATAGCATTACGAATTTTAGGTCATAGGAGAAATAGAACATAATAATAGAAGAGTAATGAAATAATAACGAAATTACATTTAGTAGACATCCATGCATGTTATTAATATATTTCATAACATAAATCAAAATTTGTGCATACTTAACAATGGCCTCAAAATAGGAAGACTTGTGCAGTCCAAAATCATATCTCTGTCTCATTTTATGTGACATTTTTTCCTTTTTAGTCCGTCTCATTGAAAAGAATATCAATATAAGGCCCAAATGTAACCTGTGCGGAGCAAGCCTACACTGGCCTGCAACTGCTTTCTCATTGGCTCCATTAGGGTTCGTAGTCTCATCCTGAAAAGGTTTTTTTCTTTCTCCGGGCTTATTATAATTAAAAATAATTTAACTTTAAATATATTTTTTTACCCTCAATGAAATAATTCTCAATCAGACAAATTTAAGAATTATTTTAGACCATAAATTTTAAAAATTTATTTCTTAAATTTGATGTCAAGTTAAAGGGTCTGTCGTGATGATATTTGTGATTTAGCTATTTGAGGTTTGAGCCTCCAGCCCTCTCTGGAAGAGCCACGTCGTTTGTGTTTTCTGTTTTGCCTTTTTAAATTAATGGAAGATTAGCAACTCTGTTTCTGTCGGCAACTTCCCCTCCCCCGTCTGTGTTTGGTGTGAGCTTGTCAATGGCAGATGGAAATGTGGATGTTTTGGATATTTACCCACTGAATCATTACTATTTTGGTTCAAAAGAGTCACTTCCATTGAAGGAAGAGGAGACCTTGGATCATCGCATTCAACGCTTGAAATTCAAGTATATTTTTCTATCCTTATTCCCCTCTTTCTATCACTATATATATTGTATGTTCATTTTTGTTTCCTCTTTATTTCAGCTACAATACTCATGGAATCAGAACTTGTGTACAAGCTGTGATTTTGGTTAGTTTCTCTTTCTTCCTTTTTTCAAAACAGCTAGAGGTAAGGGGGGAGTATAGAGGACCTTTAGATACTCCGGGTGTTTTAGATACTGCGATCCAAATTAGTAAGTTTCAAAATTCTGAGGGCGGAGCCACGATTATTGCAAAACATGTTTCCTTTGGTTGATAGTGGGTTCAAACCCACAACTCTACCATGGAAAGAGTTTCCATGTCCCATTCTGAGCCGCCAATTAATTTTTAGTAGGTTCACAAGTTAATATACATATATATTAATTTAATTTTCTAATATAAATACATGGTCTACTAAAAAGTTATTGGGTTCCCCGAACCCTAAGTTCCTATTTCGAATACCTAATGGTGAAGGAAAACACAAAGAACAAAACAAAACCAATCCCAAAAGATTTTAAAAGCTCATTTCTTTAGAAATAATTGAAAGTTTCAGTTGTTGCAGCCTAAAAATTAGCCTCTGGATCTTTGCTCCCTTAATATAAGTGCTTTTCTGCAAGAACTGGGGGGTTGTTTTGTAGCTGACTAGAGTTATGTAGGTATTAGTAACACATTAGTTTTGAGGATATTTTTGAATTTGTTTGTGTAGGGATTAGTTGCTTCATCTTATATGATGCATAAACTTTAAATAGCAGTTTTGCATATAAATAATATATTCAAAATTGATTTGGATCTTTAACACCATTTTAACTTTATATAAAATCGCAACAAGCAACTGACTTGGCTTAGCAGGCCAGTTACTTTGTCAAATGGAACATTCAATAAAATTGGGACGATACAGTGTACCATGGCTCCTGCACAAGGATGTGACACAAATCGAGAAATGGTCTAAACTTTTCAAAAACTACACGTGGTTTCCAGCTCTAGAAGCTGTTATCTTATCTTGCATTTCTTTCTCCTTAGTGATTAAGTAGCTTTTAGATTTAGGATTCTCATTTTGAATATAATTGCAACAGAGGTTCTCCTGTTATTTCACTATGTAGTTGTAGGATGCATGCACTACTGCTCTGATTCAATATCCACGAGTAAACTCCCCCAGGCTAAAGTTCTTTCGGGGGAACATAGTGACCTAAAGATGTACGTTCTAAACCTCTGTCTTTTATCAAACAACTTGATACTGCAGCTAAGCATATTGGTTCATGAAGTGCTGAATAAGTAGAGCCAACGCCGTGCTGCAACTAAACCTGTTTGTATCATAAACTGCTTATACGTGGAGTCATCCAGACAGTTCAGCAGTCAGTTTTGCAACTTTGCAGGTTCTAAGAGCCTGTCTGGACGGGCTTATAATTTATGGCTTATAAGCCAATCCAAACAGGCTCTAAGTCTGCGATCTTAACTAATTTCCTGTGTGAGTAGTCAAATATCAAGAGAGCAATAGAGATTGTAGTTCCGACATCTGTTCCAATAGTTCAAGTTCCATAAATTGGTGCATGATTTTAAGTGACTGATCTCGATACTTATTCATGTGAATCCTCATGGATGGTCATAATATGGGGTGTAATTTCTATTCAAACAACTTAAGCCTTAATGTATTCTTCTGTTGTTCAAAATGTCAATTACCCATTGAATTACATACTGCATTAGAAAGGGGCTATTCTTGGTTGTTGTTAGATGATACAGTATTCAATACGTTGCATTGCAGGTTGATTTGTTCAAACATCCACATCTATTATTATTGCAAGTACGGCATTCCATGTACAAACTTCCAGGTGGTCGTCTTAGGCCTGGTGAATCAGGTACTACAATGATATCTTTTCTCATTTTGTCCAATTTTCTATCTTGAAGCTGGGAGTTTGAGCGCTGAAGAATTTTTCGTGTTGACATACACAGAAATCGAATGTCTTAGACGTAAACTCTCAAGTAAACTATCCATGAGCGAAGAAGATGACAGATGGGAGGTATGCCAACATTTTACATAGTGTTTTCAATTTATATTTTTGGCTATGCATCTTATAAATATTTCATTTGATGTATACGTAGGTCGGTGAATGCCTTGGGATGTGGTGGAGACCTGACTTTGAAACATTGATTTACCCGTTTTTGCCACCTAATATAAAAAGGCCAAAGGTACTTGGTCATAATATTCTGAAATTTGTCTAGTTAGCTGTCAGGAGTTCTTGAAGGCATTAGTACTCAATTTAGCAAGGTTAACTTTCTTTCTTTGTAGGAGTGCACAAAACTCTTTCTAGTGAGGTTGCCTGAAAGTTGCAAATTCATTGTACCGAAGAACCTCAAGCTTATTGCTGTTCCATTGTGCCAAGTTCATGAAAATTTCAAGGTACTGTACAGCAGGCACATTCATGAATAGAATATTACCATGCTAATTGATCAATCTGTTTTTCTTTTATCACAATGGACTCTTACAGACAGTTGGCCTTACTCGATGTTATACTTCAACTAATGCAATCAATACCCTTATCTGCAGACATATGGGCCAATAATAGCCGGAGTTCCACAACTGTTATCGAAGTTCTCCTACAATACACCCGATACTGACTGAACGGTGTCATAATACAAGTTAAAAGACCACATTGGGCTCAATGCTACTCCCATCCAGCATGCTGTTTTACGTAGCAAGTTCAAGTTGAGAATACCAAGATAGTAGTGACTTTGACATGTATATATAGTATGTGGAGTGTGAATAAGCAAAGTCGAGACATACATGTTTTTATTTGTAATGTTTCCATCTGCAGTTTTTGTTTCTACCTGTATATTTGTATAATTGTATCGGCTTGTTGTGAAAAAAAATAATTTAACTTATAAATCATTCAGGTAATGTCTCAAGTCAAGTTCATCATTTTTTTTTGAGTTGATTGTGGTGGTACTCAAATTCAGTAACAATTTTAGCTACTGTGATGCTTAATTCTTGACCTCTGAAGAAGAAGAATCCCTGAACAGAATGAGAGGTGCCTAACCAACTTTCAATAGACATAATTGGCTGCATTGATCTCTGTAGCTACACTCATAATGATATCTATGCTACCTAGTATAGTCACAATATCATTATTCTTTTAACTAACTGAGGAAGAATTTGCAAATTGACCATCTACAAGGAAATGACAAGAGGCAAATGAGCTTTTGCACATTTTCGTTAATCCATGAACAGGATCGAGAGAGTTAGACTTAACTTTTGTTGCCAGAAAATTAGAGCAAGTGTATAAAATAATAGTAGTTAGTTTTATCATTTTTGGTCGAACAGTAAGTATGCCATTCCTCAACTTGCTTTAACTTTTCATTCACAGATTTTCTACCATGTATTCCAAGAAAGTAGCTTATAAAATGCACCAATTACTTGTAATACATCCTGTCAAGCTGGCTGCTGGCTTTGTTATTTTCAAGTTTTGAGAACACTGTTTGTTTGATAGTTTTTCTCTTTTCTTGCACAAGTTACTCAAAGCTGCTGGCTTTGTCTACCATGTATGTTTGATTGCTTTGGACCAACACGACAATCAAATGCGCGGAGAAAGGGAAATTAAAGAAAGTGGAAAACAAAACATATCATGCCAAGAAATGGTAACAGAAAACAGTGAGAGAGTTCTGGGAGACAACATTATACTATAGTGACATAAATAATCTGCTGGGAGTCAGTAGTTTGTTCTTTGAACCAACTTTGCTGAATTTTTATTGTCAGAATAACTTCCATCATGTACGGTAACAGCCTAATTAAAAAGGAAGCTAAAATCTGCAACATGAGTACCATTTGATTTGATTATCATCCTGAACGATAAGTTTCCAATGTTACATCCACAAAATGAAATACGAGGATGGTTTAGTGCGCTACGTTTTCTTCTTGAATTTCCTCTGTGCTTTCAAGTCGACCACAATCACAGATATATTATCTCTGCTCCCCCTTTGGAGAGCAACTCGTGTCAAGTACTCTGCAGCATCCTGAGCAGCAGGATCAACATTTTCACCCCTTTCGCTACTCAAAGTACCACCATTCTTTTTGTGCCAGAGAAGAATTCGTCTCCGGGCCACATCACAAGCTTCTTCATTTGTCAAGACATCCCATAGGCCATCACTTGCTAAAATTAGACAGTCGTCTTCTTTTGCTCGGGGTACAAACATCATTTCTGGATCTGGAATCACATAAGGCCTTAAATATCTATCACCTGCAGTAAAATGACAACCTCTTCAAATCAAGAAAGCTTTGATCTCTAGGATAACAGTTTCCAAATAATAAATGACAACCATGTCAACTGAAGTCAGACGTCGTTATCCAACATCAGTGGGCTGCTTCAGGGATGAACTTTGACACTATATATGTATGGTATAACACTTTAATTTTGGTACATGTGCAGGTCTGCTCCATCGTAGCTTTGAGATTCCTTTATTTCCATGTGCAAATCAAGCACAATATAGATGACTTTCTTAACCCTCTCCAGTAAAAATACAGCAGTACAATGAAATTTGCAGGTGTGGCTAGTACAATATACATACCAATTGACCTTGAAACTGCAAGAACACCAGAAACGCGATGTCCATCCCAATTAATGACCTTCCCTCCCAATTCTTCTATTCGTGAACACTCATCTTCCCTATTTGGCTGAAAATAATGAACAACGAATATTATATGGTTGCGAAAAGAAAAAACTAGCAAATGTTGCACAGCGGTGTAACAACAAACACAAGCCTTACCTTATGGTCAATGGATAATGGCATGGGCAGTTTTCCCCGACAAAGGACTGCCCTTGAATCACCACAATTAGCAACAATAATATGGGTTGGACTAACAACTGCAACTACAGCTGTAGATCCAACTGCTTCGGGAGCAATGACTGAAAGGTCAGGCTCAATCCCGTCTGTTTCACTACAGAACCCTCCTACCTCATCATCGACTCTACAGAAACAATTCAAGAAAGCCTTTGACCATTGCTCCTTCCAGTTAACACTTCCATTATGTGAATCCTCTTTCATAATATCTATCTCCTGTGCTAAAACCATATGGAGACGCTCATGACAATAATTAGCAACCTGCTAGGGAAAAAACAATTGGTCTTAGTACATAGGCTTAAATGACAAACAAATAGGAAATGAACTCTAAACATGCAAGCAATAACAGTTCTTGTGTTACTAGAAACTAAAAACAAATGTAGAATGTAATAAAAATGGATAGAAATTCACCTGAGAGCCTCCATGTCCATCATAAACCCCATATAAATGGGCTGTAAGTGTTTGACTCAGGGCATGAGAAACTGGCGCATCCGTCAAAATATGGGAAGGGATTCTCAGAAACCTTGGTAAAGCTATAGCAGTATCTTCCATCTCCGGCCTCTTTCCTTGTATCGTGATGATCCCCCAAAGCGGTACAGAATCAAAACAAAAGGCATTTGGCCTACTTATCTTTATCTCTTGTGAGGTCTCAAGATGGGATGGTGATAATTTTCTTTTATAATCTTCAGCACCCACAACCATAGTGGAAACAAGATCACTTACAAGTTCTGACTCATTAACCAACTCTTTAGCCAAATTACACGAAAAAGACTTCCTCAGAATCTGGGATACACCAACCTTCTTGTCTTCATTCCGAGGAGGAGTTCTCCCAACTTTAACCTCCAAATCTGTACATTCTTGGTTAGGCATGCCGCCACACTCATCCACTAGAGAATCAGAACAAGTCATATTTCCTAAAAGCTCATCAGTTGGTGAAATCAAATTGTTGTCCATAGATCTACCATCTTTTACCTCACTAGCAATCAAACAATTCCCATTAGCTACAACTGTCGAAGAAAAACTCTTCCCTTTCCTGATTTCATGGCAATCAGCAACTGTCATAAAGAGGTTAGCTTTGTCCCTGGACACACTATGATTCGACACCGAACAAGGAAGTTTGCACTTGTTAGGTTCTGATAGCAAGCTAGTCGTATTCGGGATCAGCTCATATTCAGCGAAGTCAATACATGTGGGTAATACTGATTCATCATATATCAATTTTCCCTGTTTATATGATACAGTAAGTGCTGGAAACATCTCTTCCATCTTCTAACCAACCAAAATTATTCAAATCCCTAAAATTTACTTAAGTTGTAAGCCAAGAAAAGTTTTGACATAAAAAAAAAACAGAATAAATCTATGACATAAGAGAATATGGATCCAAAGTCCAAACTTGTGGAATCACTATCCATAAAACCCTATTCAGCATCTTGTACTCTTCTATTCCAATTCTATCCATTCAACAACACATTAGCAACAAACCCCCTTAACAAAGAAACACTTTTTATCAACTTATAATATATAGGAAACAACAAATCTAGTGGTCACTGCTTAACAAGACAGAACACAACATATAAAGATTCAAACTTTATTGAAAAAAAAAGGACTTACAAGCTCAAAGCAGACCAAACATGAAACTTTTTTCCAAATTCAAAGCAACCCAACTTCTTCTTGATTACCTAAAGTTAGTTGAATCAAAAAAAAAAAAGGTTTGTGAGAACCCCATATAATTCAAGAGTCAAACAAATCAAGAAAGGATGCATGCAAGGATTTGTTATTAGAGACTAATCATTCTATATTTATTGTGGGTATTGTATTATACATACAAAAAAAAGGTTTGATTAGATACACAAATCAATGAATACAATAATCCAATAAACAAATACTCATAATAGAGGAAGGTAAGTGAGAAGTTGCTTACCGTTTCAAAACAATCTTGCATTAATGACACACTAAAAAATAAAAGAAAGAAGGAAAAAAAAAAGGTTAGACCAACACTTCAGTTCCTCCTAATAAGTAATTGAAAAAAATATAGAAAAACAGATTAGAAAGCAAAGTGTGTGATGTGTCAACACATTTATGTACTCTCCCCTTTATTTAAATTTGATTTTTTTAATAAAAAAAATTAAAAATAGGTAAAATATACCCCTTCAATTTTATTTCACTTTGTTATATTTGTTTTGCACTTCCCTTAAAAAAGATATTAACTAGAGGATGTAATTATCCATATTCATTACTCCTCTCAATTTAATACTCTATCGGTTCATTCTTACTTGTCACCTATTCTTAAAATACATATATCAACAATAATTTTCTTAATAGATATGTCAAGTCAAATTGTGACAAGTAAAAATAAATCAGAGTAATTTTCTCTTTGCATCATATTAATATCTCTTCATATATATGATTAATAAAAGTAAAAATGGAAATAAATAATTAATTATGTCTTAATTTTTTAAAAATATAAATGTTATGAATTTTTTATTTTTAAAGAAAGATGATAAATGAAATCAAACAGAGAACTATCAAAATTTTTGAATTTAATGATATTAAGCATATTAGTAGAAAATTAAAATTTAAAAAAAAACACAATTTTAAACAAATTTAAAACAGAAGTGGGGCAAACAAATGGTAAAAACAAAACTGTGGTTTTATTAAATTGTTAGTCAAGTGGGTCCCAGTTAGCAGACATGTGTCCAACCAGATGGCTTGTTTTGATTGGTTGTGGACCCACCTCTTGATTTTTAATGTTTCTTTCGGTGAACTAATGGGATGATCTTAAAAAAAGAAAAAAGAAAAAAAAAAAGGATGATCTTTTTAGGAGTCTTTCTGAAAATATATATTAAAATAATAATTTTGGTGGGTGGGCCCTACACTATCTCTCTGTCCTTGCCACGTTGAGCTTTAGTTTTCATGTACAAAAACTTTTGGGTAGATAGAGTCAAGACGGACAAACTGACGCTAGGGGTGTTCACAGTTTGGATAAAAATTGATCCAAATCGAAAAATTGAACCAAATCGATAAAATAAAATCGATTTTATTTGGGTTTGATTTGGTTTGGTTTTAGATTTTTGAAAACCGATAGTATTGGATTTGGTTATGGTTTTATACGAAAAAATCGAAGAAATAACCGAATCGATGAATTATATACATATATTTTATTAATATACATACTTAATATATTGTTTTATAATCAGTTTTAAAAGATCTTATACATATTTTCATTTAAAAATTTCTTTATAAATTTAGTTATTGAAAGCAAAAATGCCCAAGATGAACCATTTATCTTATTGATTTCATGTATATGAGTGGCTAGCTCAATTCTTTGTGGAACTGAAAATGTTATTGTCTCTTCCTTCTAGGCTAATATAGTGAATTTTAAAGCTTTATTGATAGTAAATTTAGTGATCGAAAGTTCAGTAATTTAGGTCATACTAACTATTTTTCATTTTGAATGGATTATTGTCACTTTTTTCACATTTTGAATGAATTGTTTCTTTTATTTTGTGTATGGTTAATAACCGAATAACCGAACCAAATCAAACCGAAACCGATAACCACCAAACTGACAAATGTATATTATATTTGGTTTGGTTTGGTTTTGATAATTTTAAAACCGATTAAGTTGGTTTGATTTTGATTTTGACCAATAACCGATTCAAACCGATCTGTGAACACCCCTAACTGACGCATACCATCTTTACCAATAAAAATATTCTAATTATAAGCTACCGTCTGATTTGAATACAAGTTATATTAGGATAAGTTATATGAAAATAAGTTATTTAGCTTAAATATTTTTTTGTGTGTATTTTGATAATTATGATATATGTTTTTAAAATAAAATTTTCATCTTATTTAACTTTAAAATAAATTTCATCTTATTTAGATTAGATATTTTGTGTGTGCATTTTCATAATTGTGCCGTGTATTTTAAAAATTAAACTTTCTTTTATTTAACTTTAAAATAAATTTTCCATCTTATTTAGATTAAAAATAAAACTTTCTTCTTATTTATTTAAAAATAAAATTGCCATCTTATTTAGCTTAAAAATAAAACTTTCATTTTAAGTTTATTAAAGTAAGAGAAATTTTATTATTAAAGCTATCTACATTTTAATTGATATATAAAATATAATTTTTAAATGAGTAGTAAACTATTTAATTTAAAATATGTAATTGAGTAGTGAAGTGAACATTTTAAGAAAAAATCAAAATATAAATAACATAAGAATTAGGCAAATAAATTCAACTTATAATAAATCATAAATATAAATAGTATTTATAAAATGTAATTTTTTAATAAAAAAATATATTATCATAAAACAACAAATAATTAAGGTTGTGAATGTTATTATAAATGTTGTTAAAAACTATGTTACTATACATGAATATAAAAATGGTGTATATAAGAGAATTTAAGGGAGGTATTTTTGTTATTTTATATATTTAATCCCAGGATAAGTTATCCTGGGATTACTATTCCACCCCTAGTAAGGGATAACTTATCTCAGGACTAATAGTTAATCCTAGGATAAGTTTTCCCAGCCTTTGCAACCAAACAACAAATTAAAGATCACTCAAAAGTTACCTGTGATTAAATTATTTTTTCCATCACACCAAACGATCCCTAAAGGTTTTAGACCAGTATTTTCAAAAACGTTTTGACGTGAGTCTCACAATGATTTTTGGGATGAGGTATATTAAAATAGTTTTGGAAATAAATTTATAAGGTATACATTTTAGAATTTGGGGCGTAAAAGCACAAGTTTTGAGCATAAAAACGCATATTTTGTGCATTAAGTTTGATAAAAAATTTAATTTTTATTATTTTTACTATAAATCATATTTTATATTATTGATATAGTAATATATATATATACTGCTATCATATTTTTATATTATTGATATAGTAATATTTATATACTGCTATCATATTTTAATTTTTCACTCTGAAATATATAAATAAATAAAATATTTTTTATACAATGTGATATTGTTTAGATAATTGTGTCTGAAATTGATAATATAGAGATTCTATAATACTATATTTTTGGAATAACTTTATCTATTTTTTGTCATTACTCTTATTCTTTTTATCTTTCTTCTTTTTTGAAATATATAAATAATAATCTGTGAATATTAGTTGAGTGAGAATGACTAGTAGATGTAAAGATGAACGATAATTTCATATTAAAGATTATCTCGGCTATTTTTATTTTTTGTGTTGTTATCTTTTTTCAAATAATAATTATGATTTTTTAAAATATTGTCCGTTATTTATTTAATTTATTTACAGAAATATTGAAGTTTTTTCTTTTATTTATATTTTAGTAATAAAATTATAAATTTAAGATACATGACATATAAGTCTATAGATTCATGGAACTTATGTCTCCAGTTTTGAGAACTATGCTTCGTCCATGGCTCCGTGCTATGATATGACTTGCCTCACACCTCCCCCTCCCCCTCCCCCCTTTTAAAATATTGATTTAAAATAAATCAAAGTAAAATTTAAAATTTATAAATTTAAATCAAATTCACAATTAATTTTACTCATATATTCATAATTAGATATTTAAATATATTTAATCATTTTTAGAATATGAATAGTGTATCTTAGCCAAAAGTGCTGACTTTATTTGGATTCACACTTGATACAATAGAAAATCTGTCCTTATGTAAAAGTATATACTCTAATGATTAATAAAGTTGTAATGAATTGCTGGGGTCATGGTTCAAAGTTTAATAAAACAATAAAAATATGATTTTTTTCTCGTTAATCTTAAGTTTGATATATATATAATTATCCTTAACTTTGAGAAATTATTATTTTCTCTTTTTTCTCTAATTGATTTTTAAAAAAATATCTATTATATTTTTACATTATCAATCTTTTTTTATACTTCTTTTAAAATAATATTAATTTTGTCCAAAAGAAAATGAAAAAATATTGATTGAGTATATGTAATTTAATGTCGTACTATAATGAAAGAAACGAAAAGAATAAAACATATGATAAATTTATTGAGGTGAACATAAATCTTTCAAACACAATCGTAAATAAAACACAGTAAATCTCATTAAATTAATACTCGGTAAATTAATAATTTCTCTAAGATAATATTTTCCTCCAATTTCAACTTGGACCAATGAAATAATTCATCCATTTCAATAAAATAATAAGATAATTTTCAGAAGATCTCTTTATGAATATATGTTTTCATTAATATTATAAATTAATAATTCTTTAAAAGTATAAATATATTAGGGGTGACAAAATCAAACTCAATCCGTCCAACCCGTTTAAGTTTGGGTGGGTTATCGACCCGCCCATTCATTAGTTCAACCCATTTCAATCCATTAAAAAATGGGTTGATATGTAACCCGAATTGACTCATGAAAAATCTTGTTGAAATATTTTTTAAAAAAATTTCAATTTGATATGTCGTATATAATAATAATAATAATAATAATAATAATAATAATAATAATAATAATAATAATAATAATAATAATAATAATAAATTTATTAGATACTAAAATAGTTTAAAAGAACAAATAAAGCAATTAAATTTAGTAAAAATTGGATTGGGTTGGGACTTGGCCCGTAATGTAACACATTACTTAACCTATTTTGACCCAAGCAAATTTGGGTTGGGTTGGGTCTTGACCGATTGCTAACCCATTATGACCCGTCCAAATTTGACCCAAACCACCCAATTGCCACACCTAAAATATATTTAAGACAATTTAGTTAAATATGATTCTATTGTGTTTTGGTTTTTATTAAAATTCAAATCTAGTTAAAAATCATCTCTAATTTTTCTTGTTGCATCCAAAAGTCCCGGTGTTGTCTTTTTGAACTGCATCATAAAATTGTGAAGAGTTATATACAATAAGTGTTTCTTTACGCGTAACTTGTTCAAAAAGGTATTGTATCATCTTCTATACTGTTTTTTCCAGTAGTATCTAGAATGTCTTTTTAAGTTTTGAACCTGTGAACATGTATCATTTTAATTCAGATAATCCAACAAGTTATTAACTTCTATTTTACTGTGG